AAACCAAACGACACATGGAGGATTAGCTACGTGCCAGAATCCTAGACGTGGTTACTTCTTCTATGCCAAACAGGGATATAAATGGTAATCTGGCATATTACACACACATAAATACATGTATTTTGTCTGGAAAGGCTAAAGGTTTGCTCATAACACAATGGTTTATTTTTCATTTACCTAAAACATACATTCATGCTAGTTAAATATTCTGGCTGGTGCTGTCAAACAAGCAATTTCCTTTCAAAGTAATGCTGTAATTAAAACGAGTGCTAGAGGGCATTCAAAGCACAACGGGACCGCTCCTCATTTAACAGAGTTGTAGACAAGTAATTGAACTGAGAATTCTGCTCATCTGCAGCTATCACTACACCAGAGAGGGAGTAAATCAGACACTGGTGGTACACGACACAGGCCTGCATACGCAGCAAGAGTGTAGATCTGCCCTCATATTAAACTGAGGCAAGTACAGCCCGTTTTGCCATGTTTTCCACCCTTGGGACAGTTTTGTCGCATCCGCTGTGCTGACATTGATGTTGCCAGCAGGTCGTCTCCTTGCTGGAGAAGATGGGCAGGGAGGCGCAGGGCTGCTTCCCGAAGCGCCGCCGCAGGCACCAGCCCCTGCCCAGGGCTCAGGTGCTCTTCATGACAAACCGCCCCAGAAGGAGCCGGCAGCGAGCGGGATCCTGGCCCACGTGGGGCAGTGACAGCCCAGAATTAAATTTCCCAAGTTCTGTCACTGTTCTTCAATTCTGCTACAAAACAAAACTTGGTGCCAAGAGTTCAGAAGTTTTTACCAAATTCCAAGTCCAATTCCAAGTCCAATTCAGTCCAATAGCTACTGCTCCCACAGAGGAAAAAAATTCTCAGTTGGGCATGTAAAAGTAAGTACATTTGTTACTATCATTCCTCACTTTTAGCAATATAGTTAACCAATATAACCAATAGTTAGCAATATAGTTAACCCCCCCAACAGGGGCCTGGAACATCTGCCCTGTGAGGAGAGGCTGAGGGAGCTGGGCCTGTTCAGCCTGGAGAAGAGAAGGCTGAGAGGGGATCTAATCAGTGTATATAAGTACCTCAAGGGAGGGAGTGCAGAGAACGGGGATGGTCTCTTTTCAGTGGTGGCCACTGATAGGACTAGAGGAAATGGCCGGAAACTGAAACATCAAAAATTCCATAGGAACTTAAGGAAAAATTTCTTAACAGTGAGGGTGACAGAGCCCTGGAACAGGCTGCCCAGAGAGGTTGTGGAGTCTCCTTCTCTGGAGATCTTCAAAACCTGCTTGGATGCCGCCCTGTGCCACGTGCTCTAGGTGACCCTGCGTGTGCAGGGGGGTTGGACTAGATGAGCTCTAGAGGTCCCTTCCAACCCTAAGCATTCTATGATTCTATGAATTACTTTAATTTACATCATGGAAATAAGGAATTATATATCAGCGTCTCTGAATATGAATTGGTTAATTATACTTCAAATTCTAAGCAGCTTAATGGTAATTTCTCTTATAAGGTTTGGCAAATTTCCAGTCTTCTCTCATGATTTTCTTCAGATCTCCTTTTTTCTGTAATTAATCCATTTACTAAAATACTTAATGTTTGCTTCTCAAGCACAGAGCAGTTCTAGGAGATGGAATTTGGTTTTCTTGGGTTTTCAGAAACTGTGTAGCTTTTGTTTTTCTCACATCAAATACACATTCTTTCTTTACCTACTTAATAAAAAATAAATCCTCACAAGCTATCAGCTTCTCTGCATATCTCCTTGTATCTCTTTGATCATGCTCCTCCAAACATTCAGGAGTAATCCATGGGTAATTAGAACTTCTTAGCCTTTTTAGCCTAAAAAGAACCAATTTACAACAGACTGTCATGAATCTTGGTAAATTGTCAAGAGCCTAATTACCAAAAGGAATAAGGATCCTTTTTCAAATTGAAGTGATTAATTTCAAATAAAATCTAATAACATTTCACTTTTTAATTATGTATGTTTTTATGAAATGTGAGGAGGTCCACCTTATTTTACATCCAGTGGATGTAATACAGCAAACATTAATCATATACCAATATAATGCCAGACCTAATAATGCTTTCAGCATGCTTTTACATTTTCTGTATTCTCTCCATTTTAACTTATTCCTCATTTTCACTCCAAACCATTTACTTGAAATCTGGGTCAGGCTTAAACTTTCTATACGTTTTTATGTGTGTTTGCTCTCTCTCTTTATTTTTCATGTAGCCAAACAAGCTACAAGTTGAAAAACAGGTTTAAATTTAAGCAGAAAAAGGAAAAATAAGAATACAGAGTGTCAGTCGAGAGAAAAGGCGAAACTCTTCACATGGGAGCAGTTTAATTGCCATGAGGATCACCCGAATAAGTAGTAACGTGCCAATAACACCCTCTTAGCTCAGGGCCAGGCTTAGGGAGAGTCCCACAGCTGTGCTGTGGAAAGGCCCCGTCTCTGACAAGCAGCGGGAGCGCCCCTGGGCCAGGGCCCCTTCCTGCCCTTCCTCCCTCTCAGGAAGCGTCTCCGTGAGCCAGGCTGCTGGAAATGCTCTCCTTTGGGATTGTTCCCAAAGGAGACCTCTTTCAGGGACACATCTCCACAAGAAATTCTCTGAAGGACGAACCTGCTCATGCCAGGTGATTGTGATGCATGGAGTCTGCATGTGCTTGTCTTCCTCGCATTGCTGCAGGCCTGCCTCAAAGTGCTCTGTCACACACTGCCTGCTAACGGCCAGTTCTAACCTTTACTCTGCATTTTAAGCTAACTCTCTCTCTCTTTTTTTTTTTTTTCCCTCTTTGCCTTTCAGGTCAAAAAAATGTTTTTTGGCAAGAATTGAAGCAAAATTCACAGAGCTTGTGGAGTCTCCTTCTCTGGAGATCTTCTAAACCCACCTGGATGCCACCCTGTCCCACATGCTCTAGGTGTCCCTGCTGGAGCAGGGGGGTTGGACTAGATGATGTTTAGAGGTCCCTTCCAATCCCAACCATCCTGTGATTCAGAGGAAGCAAATTGATACTCTACTGGGTCAACAATTGCATGTGCAGGGGGGTTGGACTAAGTGACCTCTAGAGCTCCCTTACAACCTTAAGCATTCTATGTCTATGTAACAAACCAGCTGCCTACAGCAGTGCAAGACACCTACGACAGTGTGTCTGCTAAGTGGAATAGGAGCCTATCATAGCATAGAAGGGCTTCCTGGCATTTGGAAAGAGAGACGGAGACCATCTTGGACGGAGGACGGAGGCCTTCTTGTCCTTCCAAGAATGACACAATAAAAACCTCACACATTGATGCTTCACAGAATGCTGTGGCAAGTCTTTTATTTTGTTCACCTGATTAGTGCAAGTCAAATAATTAAATAAAATTGGCAAAGGATTCTCAAAACAGAAGTCATAAAACAATAACTTTTCAAATAGGAATGTAATTCACTCCTACTGCAATACCACCAACTTGCTGAGAGGTTCCATGAGGAAAGGAAGACTCCATTACTAGTATTACTAAATCTTCACCACTCTTAGTGTTACATAAAAAGCAAAGAAAGGAGCAGTCCTTTCTTCCCAAAGAGCTTGGAATCTCAAAACAGTTGCAGTAATGTCCAACATTATGTAAGTTCAAATAGCAGAATAATATCAAAATATTGTCATTGATAGTAAAATTCACAGGCTGAGAGGGAAAGATAAGAAGGGTATTACAATACAAAATCTTCTGAATATCTCCGATACGCTGGTTTAAGGAAGGAATTGTATAACTGAAGTTATACAAAGTCTTGGGTAAGCCATGAGGATAAAGTGAGAAAGCTGGATCTAACATGAACTAATGTGAGGAAAAGTTAGATAAGTCAAGATTTGCATTGGCTGGAGTTAGGCAGAGTCCCACATACAAAGGTGAAAAAAAAAACAAATCAATGGAAAGGCAAAGAATACAATGGAACAATTAGAAGAGAGACATTTAGAAGAAGACATTTAGGGAGCAATAGACGATAAAATCTGGGGCACTTTGGACTAGGAGGTCAGCACAGAGCAAGTCGTAGGACCCTTGAATAGAACATAGTCCAGTTTGATGCAAAGTTAACAAATTAAAATAACAGGATTTTGACAGGAGTATTAAATATCCACATCCCCAAATAAGAATATAAAATTAATATCCTAAAGAAGTTTAAAATATAAAAAGCATAGAGAAATTCACGTCTTATAAATTGATTTCACTACAAACTCATGCATTTTAGTTTTAAACCTATTAATGGTAACACCAAAAACAAAAAGGGGGAGAGGGGCCCAATCCTACAGGCATTAACTGCAGCAATGTATTAACAGGTACTACTGCATCAAGCTAGGTCATGATAGCATTACATGCATGGGAACACACACCTAAATGCAAAGGCCTGAAATTAGGAATGTAGATACCAGCTCCTCTGGGAATGCCTCATGATGCAGGATGCATGGATGGAATATACCTGACAAATCAGCTAAGTATCCTTAGAGAACACCTAACCACAGCTCTACACTCACTGTGCAGTTACCTAGTATTTATGAAACTCTACGGAGGGCTTATAACAAGATTTGCCCTCTAAAATTTATTGAGAATACAATATTTTTAAAGAAGTCATTTAAGTGTACAAACAAGAAATAAAAGTGGTAAAAGACTTTTCAAATGGTAGGATAGATTCTTATTTTAGTTGTACCTATATGAACAAAGAGTGACTCTGTGAATTTCAAAAGCAGCATGTCTAAGGTCAGAATCAGATCCACAGCATCTTTCAATGCTGCTCACAGTTTAATTAAAAATTAAGTGGTCTGTTTTTCAAATTTTGGAACCAGTCTTGACTGGTCTGGGGAACCTCACCTTCAGTCAGAAGTCAAGGTTGTCCAAATCATTGCAAGGCTGGGCCCTCAATCCCATGTAGTTAACTAAAAGATCCCCAAGAACTAAAAGCCAATGTAACTTGTGCGCTACAGCTGTGCAGTACCACAGTTATTTCCAAATCCCTTTGCTTCCATTCCACAGATGTGCAGCAAGGATCCAACTCATGAGCCTTTATGACTGATGTGTCTGCATGAAGCTTCTCATGAGCGTTGCCAGCTTCTGAACATCTTCTACCGTCACGGCGTTATACAAAGAGGCACGGATTCCTCCCACAGATCTGAATTGGGAAGCAGAAGGGGGCATCAACAACAACAAAAACAAAAGAAAAACAGTCAGGTTTTGTCCATCCTAGAAAACACTGAAGCATCATTATCTACTCAAAGCTATATGATCCTACTCCAAAGTGTTCAGTAACATTTTATGTGAATATTCATCAACATATAACTCTTTAAGACAAACTTTCTCTCAAAGCACACTCAGTAATTACCAGATATTTATAGCTCTATCACCTTAGCTCTGTGACCTCAAAAATCAATTTTTTTAATACCACAAACACCACCCTAATCGAAGAAACTCTTGCAGCCATACCGACCAGATTTATAATGGATATTTCACATAGTAATGAATCTGACCTTAAGAGCCAACTGCTTGGCATTTGCTGAGCCTGATTAATCAAACCAGGGAAGAAGATAAAAAGAGGAAGAAAGCCTCCTGACTCCAACCATGCATAAGCAGTTTGGGAGCCACCAGCAGGGTCCAAGTACCATCCCTAGTGTTCCCAAATCAACATTAGAGGAAACTTTTGCCATGGAAAGAGGTTGATTAGTTAACAGACAAGGCCTGCTGCTCTATCACCATAGCACTATTTAATTCTACATAACAAACAGATTTATCTTGGTCTAGGACTTACCGATGTCCTTTCAGAGATATCATGTTAAGCTCCATGGCTTTCTCAAGGAATTTCTTTTCCAGGCCTTCATCCCCCTGGACACTGCCAATGCGGAAGGGGACATTCATTCTGCTTCGGTTCTTTTTCTCCACTGGGCATCTTTTGCAAAAATTGCAAAATATAATGATTAACTAACTTAGTACTAAATCTATGTTTTTACCTATATATGATTTCAGATACCTATACCTATATTCAGATTTGAGGAAGTGAACAGTTGCATCTGCGTAGCACTGAAGTCTTTCTTTCACCATAATCGGAGACGATTACTTCCTATGAAATAAAGGAGCCTTCCTTTTTCAACCAAGCAGATGAATTAAGTGGAAAGCTTGTTAACCCTTCATCTTGGGCCCTACCCAAGATTGCCGTTACAGAATGCACAGAGATAAACAAGTGTAAGAGCGCAGTGTAAGGAAATAACCATTCCATGCCTATTGTTATTATTCTGTGTGATAAGGAATGGACATCATTCTTTTTGAAGTCCTCAGTTGTTCCTTTGTACAGATATCTCTATCACGAAGAAATAATTGATCACAGTATCCGCAGATGCAAGTTTTAATATCTAGATGCAACCAAGAAAACACCCCTCAACAAGGCCTAGCCCGGTTACCATTTCCACATTTGTATAACTGAGTCTCTGCTATAGTTTTCACAAGATCCAGGCGCCACGAGGCAAACCAGCACAACCCAGTGCAAGCTGTTGGCAGTTACGGCAGTAGCAGCCTGTGGCTGGCACAGAGCACCCTGCTCTCCAAGGTCTCCGTTCTCACTGCCCACTCGGTGAAGCCACAGGCGAGGTGGTGCCTCACAGCCAGGCAGGCAGCTCCGCTAAGTCTCTCTGAGCCAGCGGCACGATGCAAAAATCTGCAGTCCTAAGTACAGTACTCAGTGAGGGGCACACAGCTTGCTGCTTCGGGAAGTTTGCTTTGCATTCCCAATTACCCCTTCAGCATCCCCTCTGCACCGCGCTCTGCACTCACTGCCCTAAAGACCCACTTGGCAGAAATAAAGATTTCATATGTGCCACAAAGTGTTTTTTCAAGGCATGATTTTCTTGCTGCAGTTTACAAAAAGCCCTCAGGACTTCGCTGGAGTAGGATCACATTCCTGATCATGACAATGCCAAAGGCAAATACGTTGTTAACTAAATGGATAAGCCGAATGTATTAATTATTATGAGGAAACTATATTTTTGCTAATTAAGGCCACAGCCAGCTTGAATTTTAAATCAAAATTTAATTTGCCCTTTTAGAACTTTGACACTTTGACTTGAAAAATTATTGATTTTATACTTGAAGGTAAAGAAACATATTTTGGCAGAGTTTCAGAATCATGCACTGCTCTTTAAGTGGAGTGCTTATTAAAATAATTACTCCAAATTACAACAGCAGATTTTAGCTAAAAACATTTTGACTCTTGCAATCTCAAAAATACCTTACAACCATCTGAAAAACAAAAGAAAATAAACCCAAACAAAGCAATATTAAATCTGCTTTGAAAATCCATCAGGAATAATTGAAGAAAATGAACTATATATAATGAAAATGTTTTGTGTTGCAACTACTTATTCCTACCGTTTCAGTGCATGTTTTAAGATTTGGCAAAAGAAGGTAATAAAGAAGAATCTTTTTGAGTATCGAAAGGGATGATACAGAGATTACGATAGTAAGAACTGCTCTCTAGAACTTCCTCACATGCTACTTTCTCTGCTTTGGAATGTATTTCCCAAAACATTCACTCAGCATACAAAGCAGGGGTTTCAGCCTATCTGTTTTTTGTTTGTTTGCGTGTGTGCCTTGTCTCAGCTTCTGCATTTTATGAAGTTTAGAACACGTATTTTTAATATGCTTCACAATAGCTGTATGCAGGATAACTCTAAATTCTATTGGAATGAGACTCATCCTTGGATAGTTATCAAATGAATGCTTTGCACAGATGATTCCTCTAGGATTCCTCACAATTTCAGTACATTGAAAAGGCAATTTTAACAGTCTGACTGCAGCATGCATTTTAAGTTGAAACTCTGCAACAAACATTGAAACCAAGCAGGGAAAAAAAAAACACATAGTAACTTACACATAGAATCCATTAGACTTGTCTATAATGTCATAAATCATTCGTGATTTGATTGAGCTAAGTTTATCCATAGCTGCTGTCCCGCCGTTATTCTTTATCCACTCCAGTACCAATCCCATTATATAGATGCTATGTAAGAGAAAGAACATTATACAATCAGGTTATTGTAAAAGAAATCTTAAAAAAAAAAAAAAATCTGTTTAATCATCCACTAAATATTTCACAGAAAGACTTTACCTTTATTTTCTTTTTCTTTTTTTTTTTTTAAATTAAGATGATTAGTCATTCAGAATTTGGACTACATCCTGAGTTATGACATATTTAAGCCGCCGCTGTTTTTGGATCCAGATAAAGGAACCTGAAATTCAAATGCTACACAGATAGGTTGCACCAGACATTACTGATCCCTTGCACCACAGAAGAGCACATCCTGCAGGCTTCGCTTGGCCCTGCACAGCTCCCAAGGATGTCCTCAGCATAGCTGCTCTAGCAAAGGTGCTGGGGTGAATCTCAAATATATGTGCACTAATAATGCCAAAGGCCTAATCTCAATTTCGTAAGAATTAAAAATATAACTATAATCCTACTTCTCTCTACAGAACATCTTCTTCATATGGAGAGTGATGTTTGGTGAAACGAATAAACACATTACACTCCTTAATTCATTACCATTCAAGCTCAGCTCAGACCTGGAAGCCTGATGAATTCGTGTTGTTACCAACCAAGCATTTCAATGCCAGTTACCCGGTCTAATGTAAAAACCCTAAAGGCATTTTGCCTTTGTGCTTTTGTCATAAAGTTCAGCTTGTTCAAGTTCAGGCATTTCCCATGACTACACTGCTTTACATAATAAACAGTTCAGGATTTTCATGGCATATCTCCAACAGGTTTGCTTTTATTAATCCTTTCATTACAGATTCAGGAGGAGTGCCCAGAGTACCTAACCCTACAAATTTCTGTCTCAAGGATCTAGCAGGAGGTTCATTTAACTCTGCCACCTTTAATTTCTCAGCGGATGCAAACCTTTGAACACTTCAGAAAGACTGCAGAATCACAGAGGCTACAGACTGCCTGTTTTAAATAAGCAAAGCACCTTATGGCTTTGAGTTCACAATACTGCTACGCTTACAACAGCAGCAGGCTGCCAACCAGTCCAGTGCAAAGGTTTTAGGTGAATCATAGCCTATGCCCTGAGTCTTACTTCCTCAAGTGAAATTCCATGGATAGCTAAGATATACAGACGTCAGCCTTAGAGTGATCCTCATAAACCAACCAGCTGGGGGATATCTTTTCTCCTTCTTTCATACCAGTCAGAATTCTGTTTCAAGAGCAATTTTAAATGCAAAATAAACCTTCAGAGCTTAGAAAAGAGATTTGCCTGGAAAAAAAATCACCATCAATTTGGCAAAGCAGATTAGGGTTTGAAAGTTGGTCTCTTTAACCAAGGGGTTGAAGTCATCAGCATCACATTAAATTTCCTGCCTGTTTTCCAGCTCTCAATAAGCACAGAGCAGAGAGAGGAGGGACAAAGAGTTCAGAAGCTTTGCCAGTTCCTTACAAAATTGAACAGACATTTTAAAACCAAGCCAAACAGATCAGCACCCTGCCAACATTTCAGTCTCTATGACATTCTGGATTACAGAATGTGATCCAAAGCAGGTCTCTAACATGAAATAAAATCTGGCAAAGCAGTAGTCAGAAAGAAGACTGATGACTGCAACTTTAGTTCAGTCACTGCATTTCTCCCTACCTTGTACATTGCAGACAGACACTTAATTACAGCCAAGGAAGCTCTTTCTTTTCTAGATACTCTTTGCAGGAGCGAGAAAGAAGCTGCAGAACTAAATTTTTGTTTTGCCTTTCAAACTGAAGTAGTTCTGTACTTGGAAAACATGAATGGCTGGACTTAAAACTTGGCATGTGCAAGTACACGTTCAAAACTGAATGTGCGACTTGGCAGCCTGGGAAATAACTTTATAACAGTTAAGTGGGTAGTATGTGTGTTTTTTCTGTGATGATAAAGCTTCTGCTTCGTGGTCAGTTAAGTGTACAAAGGAATCAAACATACAGAAACACCGAAAGTTCTTAATAACACTTAAAATTCAACTGTTTTTGTATTATAAATGATAGTATTAAGGAAGGTCCTGTAAACTGAAATTGCTGGGCTTTATGATGATATGGTGCATTTGATATGCATCAAGCACAGGCAGCTTAACTTGGAAAATTGTGCTTTGTGTGGAAGAGATTCTGCATTGTATTAATCTCAACTGTCTCACTGGAGACTTTTCTCTCTTCGAATCCAAAGAGAAGTCCAACCTTGAAAAGCAGGAATTGTTATTTTCAAAGTAATTTTAAAAATGTTTCTAGGAAAAAAATATAGTCATCTGCAGATTTTATTAAATACACCTATTTTAATGAATGTTGGTATAAAACATCTCCAGAATGTATTGAAATATTTATTTTGATCTATAACAGCCAGATGCTACTGGCTTAATAACTAAATCTTCTAGTGGTAAAACATCATTTCACCACTTATCAGAAGTTCAGAGCCAGTAATTCTGAGAGAGCAAGCTCTAGTCCACTCTGCTTTATGTGTACATGAAATTGACACATACATACTGATTTTATAATCCTGACTGCTGATAAAGAGTTTGAAGGTAGAAGAACAGAGTTTGATTTTTGGATGCCAGAAAATACACGAAGGTGGCAATCTAAAGAAATGTAAATCTGCACTAGAGAATAAAGCAAAGCAACAACTAAAACATTAATTTTAGTTTTATGTTCAACAGTTTCATTTCAAAACTCACTACAGTGAGTTTAGCTAAAGTAGCTAAAATTTAAAAAAATCATAAAATATTTGAAAGAATACATATTTCTGTAATATCTTGTATTATTAAAAGGAATAACAACAAAAAATAATTGGTTTCCAGTAAAGAAAAACAGAGAGATCTGAAGGTTCAGAATGCTGATAACGAGTTTGGGGTACATATGCATCTATGTATTTATTTGCAGCATATGTTGAGTCTTCTAACTCTTATCTGTGGAAAGAACCCCAGTGAATCTCACTTTCAGGCAATGGATTATCTAGCTTCCTAACCTCATCCCTTGCACTACAGACATTACTGAAATACAGACATTAGACACTTAAAAGAATGAGACTGAGTGCATTCTGGTTACAAAGCGCCTTCCCCTACACTGCCTATAAAATCAGGTAGTCTCTCCTCTGTCCCAGGCCAGCAGAGTAGCTGGAAGGAAAAGGAAGCTGTAAAGTTAATGCAGGGGCAGAAGATCTGATGAAATTAACTTTAGTTCTCCTGCTTTGACAGGCAAAAGCAAAACCACGGTGCCTGCAGGGAGCCCCGGCAGGGCCAGCAGAGCTCACACCTAGCCCTGGGTTCCTTTGCTCAAGAAGCAGCTAAACCAAGTTTAGACTGGGTGTTCAAGGAGCAAGACTAAGGGCCAAATTCTTTTCTGGTGGTGATGGACCCAGTATCACTGAATTGATTAGACCTGATTTAATTTAAGAAAGCAGATTATTAGATCCCAAGTCTTCTGGAAGTGGAATTATTACACATAATATGTCCTTCTGAAAGTATAATGTTCTTCATGGTTCAGTCCTGCTGGATACTATCAAAGCCACGGCTGCAGCTTTAAAGGTTCTCGGAGGAATCATAGTCCATTTTCAAAACTTTTCTGAACAGCAGCAGCAGGTGGCAGTGCAGCAGTTTTCTGAATAAAGGATATTAAATACTGGGATAAGTTACCTGTAGCATGGTGGAGTGTTATATAAAGAGCCATTTGTTGCTTGTGTTTTGTAATCCAGTACTACAGGGCATTCTTTCAGTGCAAATCCCAGCAAGTCCTCGCGGACTATTACAACAGTAACCCCAGCACAGCCGGCATTCTTCTGAGCACCAGCAAAAATCACACCAAACTTTAACAGAAAGGAGAAAAGAAATGACTTATTACACGCAGTCACTAACTGATCTTACAACTGCATAATAAACCAGTATCTTTATACAACAGGCATACAAATAAAATGAACATCTTGGAGAATATGTTGAAAAGCAATTTGTGGGTTAAAGGGGAGATATCCTGATTTCAAAAAGAATTCCAGTTATCATAGAATTGTTATACCAAGTATTAACATGTACCTATTATCAGAACCTATTATCAGAAGCTTGTATCTTCATTCAACCGAGGTAGTTCATCTCAACAAATTCCTTGGTAACTTGTCAGATTATTATCTAGTGGTTGCAAATCATTCTCAAGGCAGCCTGTCTCCATTTCATACTACGCCCAACAAGTTTATGAATAAATAATAGAAATATATACAACTAATCTGGCATTTCAGAAGAGAAATCACATGCTTTATCTGTTCAAAGAGAGGCAGATCAGATAAGCCAAGATGAACATGCTAGCAATTGTCCCTTTTCCTTCACATGGATAAGAAAAGTCAAATGCTCTGCTGCCTTAGTTCACAAGTCGATAACATTTCCCCACTATAATGCACTTTACAAACAAGAAATAGAGACAGTAATTGAAGCAAGGAAGCTTTACGGCTTAGAAGCGGCCATGTTTGAGGCGGGATCAAAAATTCTAATTCAATACCTTGCTATAACCACTTAAACTATCTACAGACTAAATACAATTTGTCAGTTATTGCATCAGTCAAGGCAATGCAGTCAACAAAGAATCCTGGAGAGGTAATAGCGTGAACTATTTCAATACAATTCAATATGTTTTTCCTAAAAATAATATGACATATAACTTTCAGATCTGCAATTTCAAATTTCAATGTTTATATTCTTCAGATACCAAATAAAGAAATCAGGTTTGGTTAAATGATTTCATTGTTCAGCTACTCCAGCCAGTCATGTCTTTACAGATGCCTGTATGCCTCGGATATATAGACAAGATTGAAAATGCTTTCTGGAGTTACTCTGTCTGATACAGTACCTTGGAAACATCCACAGGTTTGGACAGGAAGTTTGATGACATATCACAAACCAAAACTGCTCCTTTGACATCAGGTACAAAGTCAAATTCTACCCCGTGAACGGTTTCGTTAGCACAGTAATACACATAAGACGCATCTGGATTAAGATTCCAAGTGCTTGGGTCAGGTATTTCTGAGACAGACAAAAAGGACAACCAAAGGTCACTGAAAACAAGTAATTTTCCTTGCATGCAGTTTTACTTGAACACTGGACTTCCAAAATGCAAACTCAGGACTGATTTTGTTAAATCTGCCCACAAAGAAAATATACCCGTGGGTTCCCAAAATTCTCTGTGGTGAGAGAATCATCAAACGTGCAGACCTTCTGTTTGCAAGTCCTTCCTCCTCAAGGGATTTTAAATCAGGTTTGCAATCTCAAATTATGAATTATAAACCACTGTGTTAAGGATCTAAAATAGAATTTCACATGAATTTAAGCACTTTTATCTCAGAATCCTCCACATGGCTTTATAAACATAGTAACACCCAAGTTCTCCTTGCTGAAGTTCTCCAAAGGTCTCTTTCAGGGCATTCCCAAAAGCATTTCAGTATTTCACAAGTTGAACATGAGTTTACCTACCCTGCAAGAGATTTGCAAAACTAATATTCACTCTCTGCATGCACTCCCAGCACAGATCATCTTATTTATAGATATCTTATTTCTTATTTAAGATCTCTTATTTACAGCAGCCAAAGGGTTAATGCATTCCCTCCGGATGAGGAAGACACCAGTTCAATTCTTTTCTTTGTCTGAGGGGAAACAAACCCAAGGGAATGCCCCAATTCGGACTAGCCAGAGCATGGACACCTGGTTCTGATTTATTTGCCAAGAAGAGAAGATATATGATTATTTATGTTCCCAGATAACACTTAAGGTAATATATACATGTAAACATCCTTGAAATAATCTTTCTCATAAAATTTCCCAGTGGCTAAATTACAAGTAACTTTCCTCCTACGCTGTGGTTATATTTCAAATTGTATCACGTCCCATGACAAGCTCTAAGAAAGTTGAAAGTGCCTTGCCTATTCCAGAACTTCCTGTTAGATCGAATACAGAGTAGGAAAACGGGGGTTTGGAAACCCTCAAAAGAAGGGAATGGAAGAAAAATCTCTCAGCTCCTGGGCAGGAAAGCATAAGATCTCAAATATTTTTCCAAAATGACTAGCACTTAAGAAATAACTTAAAAAGTGATTTAAAACTGATGTCTCCTCAGACAGCCCAAGTCACTCCTCCTATCAATACACAATTGCTTCTTACCTCACATCTTCTAGAAACTGCTCAGCCTACTTTCAGGACTCACCCTGCCTGATCTCCCAAGCATGAACACGGAGAGATGAGGCTGGCCATTTTCAAGTGCTAGCCAAGGTGCAGCCAACCGCTAAACTAGCTAACATTTTGTAACAGACAGACCGATTCCTGGAGCAATTCAAAAAACCTAAGGTTTCACACGGATGTAATCATCAACTTACTTGTATAGGTTCCCAGTTTAGGATGGACAATGTTCACTTTGGCATACTTCTCTGCTTCTTTAGCTGCTTTTGCTGACCAAGCTCCAGTAACCACATAGTCTGCATGTCTTCCCTCCTTTAGACCAAGGAGATTGAGGGGGACTGCACTGAACTGACCAGATCCCCCTCCTTGGAGAAAAATAACTTTGTAGTTTTCAGGTATATTTCTGCATGCAAGAAATAAACATGTATTTTTATCCCCAAAAGAGATTGATATTTATTGATAAAAACATGGTGGAAACAAGCAATAAGCAAACTCACTCAAGAGTAGCTCTTCTAGCCCAACATACACAAACCTGAAAGATGTTGCAACAAAATTAATACTCAAATGTAGTTTTGTCTGCTGTTGCCTAATGGGAAATCAATGAAGCTAAGAAATGCAGACCAAAGTACATACAGTGGATTTCATCTTTGAGTGACAAAGTTAAAAGTTTGCAAGTGTAACTGTACACAAAACAGGCATATATAATTTACTAAGTCACAAAAATCACATGTTCAAATTATTGATGTCATTATAAAAGCTTTTCTGTCAATATTTCTATGTCTACAATCTTGATTTTATATCTTCATATGAAAGAATCATTAACTGCTGCAAGAGCTGTTCAGTAATTCCCATATTCAATGTATTCTGAAGCTTAGAATGTACCACACTGCATACAGGAAGGGCTTCCTGATATGGTTGTTTTTTACAACGACCTATAAAGTTTATTTTAGTGAAACTGGATTGATTATTGCTTTACAGACCTCCTTTACACTTCTGCAGCAACAGATAGTCTTAACTAACACAGACAAGTAACAAGCATGTATTTTTCAACCTTACTGATTGAAATATTTATTTTTTAAAAAACTACTTATTTCTTTAAATAAGTAGTTTTTTCTTTTAAAAAAATGCTGAACTTTATTAATTCTATGAACACAACAAAGATATAAATTTCAGAAGCAAGTCAACTTGTTTGTGCATTGATGTAAAAATGGGTTAAATGAATAAAAGACCTTTTTCATCTTCAAATAAACTGGAATCAGACAAATGGAAGACCAAATTTTTCTTCAAGAATATCAGCTTTTATCAGAATATCTAAAACAGGTCCTTTCACCTCCAAGGAGTAAAGATCTCCCCATGAATAAAAGTAAAAATAAGCACAAAGAAAAGCACTTACAGCAATTCACGCAAGAGACTTTCAGCTTTATTTATAATTTTTGTGAAATCCGAAGTACGGTGGCTCATTTCTTGGGTGGAAGGAAATAAAGAAAGAAAAAAGAGAGATGACATGAAGCAAACCTTCTATTTTTGCAGACTCAAAATACCTGAAGATCCCTTTTCCCAGTGCTGACTCCCCTTTTGCTGAAATTTCCTAAATATCCATGCAAGCCCTACACTACCCACCTTGTCCAAACCCATATAAATCCATTTTGTTCATACTTCATATTCTCACCTCCTTCCTGTCCCAGGAAACAATCCAGGGATGGATGAAGAAAGTACTCTCTAGCAAGGTGCAACTTTTCTATATTGCAACAGTGTTTTCTGCTACTACCACACTCTAACTCCCATAGCAGCACTGCGGTTTGCTTTGTTATGTTATTTTAACACGGTTTCTTCATGCTATGATCATAATTAGAAACTGGGTCACTTAGTGTTAATTCCATCAATCAAACCCTTGTTCTTTCTTCTATTTGTAAGAATATACAATTGATTTAAACATGAATCCAAATCCACATTGCCCTGTGCTGCACACAGTTTTAACAACCAAACAGGTTCAGGAAAACGCCGAGCATGTTTGCACACACACAAAGTTTTGCAGAGCAGCGTCTGAAGAGTGAGTCATATAGGCATGTGCTATAGAAGACATCTCTTCCTGAGGGCAGCACTGTTTCCTTCCTCATGGGAAGGATGCTGTGCTTCAGATGCCTCCCCTCCTTGCTCAGCTAGAAAAGTTTACAATCCAAGATAAAATCATGCATCTGTATGCTCACACACATAAAAAAGTGCTGCCTTTCTCAAGATCCAGAAGTACTAACACATTAGTTTTGATTACTTATCTTCTGCTGGATCACTAGACGCTTGTCTATGTTAATGGTGATGTTGATGGTTACGTTAATGGTCTCTTGATGAGTGGTTAGCACAGGAAGAACTGCAGTATTAAAGATTATCCTCTGGGCATACATGCTACCATGGTATACCAAGGGTTTACAAAAGGAAGGGTAAGAACTCAGCTGAAATAGCGAGCCCAAAAGCTCTTATTAAACTATTCTATTAGACGTCTACCTCCTGAAACACATGCAGAATTATTTTAAAGTCTTACCAAGAACACTAATACCAAGTCCTTTGTAGTCCACCAGTTCTTTCTGCGCTTCTAGTAACACCTAACAAAAATAAAAACAATAAACAGAATAAGGAGATTTTCTACTACCCATAACCAGTGATGCATCGTGCGTCTGCCTGCTCCGTACTGTATTTGCCTGACACTTTTCAAATTAGATTATGAGACACAAGACAATTACCAGGCACCAATGTAATTTTACTATAAGTAGTAGCTGAAGACTTCGCACGAGATGGTGTAATTAAGTCATGTGCTTTGGGAAAGTCTGTATTTCAAGTCACTATCTGGCACTTCTCACCTTTTACACAAGACTTAATAATGTTGCACAGCTACCCAGGGTTTTCTCTACCCAGGATTGCTACTGCTTTCCCCCCCCTCCCATATGTTCTTTTACATGTGAAGCCAGATAACTGAAGTATTGAGGGAAACATCAAAAATAAGTGTATGGAATTGTGTGCCTTAAACCATCACAATAGGATAAGGCCTGATCTCAGAAAGCAAGGTTCCGCACTTTCAAAATATACACCTTCTGTATTTATGCTACTGAAATATGGGGAGGGGGGAAAAAGAGGCCATTATAAAGCACAAGTCACTCCAGAACGCCCTTGTCGCTGACTTGCTGTCAGCCTTTCATTGTTCTTTCTTCTTTCATTACTGTCACTGCCAACGGAGCGGAGTTAGGCTCTAAGCATCGGACCTGCTGCTCGGGCTCTCTGTAAACCCCAGAACATTCACAGTCCCTCTGAAAGAGGGCAGGAAGAGATGGAGAAACACTGGAGAACTGCCCCCCACGAGAGCTGTGCGCGCGGTTCCCGGGATGTGCCCCAAGGGCCGGCCAGGAGGCCGCGGGAGGGAGCTCAGGGCAGAGGAGGGAAAATAAACCAAACGGGACACGCAGGCCCGGGTAAAGGGCTCGCCGAAACACTTGATAAAGAGTGCTGCTAATGAAATAGGGTTTTATCCAAAAACTTGAACCAAAAGAAGAGTGATTTAAGAAATGCCTATTTGTCTCATATACATGAACACCAACAGCACTCTGACAACGTGCCTTATAACAGAGAGGCGGTCACTGCCCCCCTCTTTGCTTCGTTTCACAGGCAGCATCACCCTGCAGTCAAGTCAAGGTAGAAGGCTGCGTTTTCAAAAACCAGGAGAAAACCAAGAGAAACGATGAGGGTTCATCTGTGCTCCCCGCAGGACCCCAGGACTGAGGCAGCCCTCAGCAATCTCTGCCGAAGAGCCAGAGGCTGCAGCATTTACAGAGGGATCCGCTGTCAGCCCAGGGCTTTGCAATGCAGAGCCACGGTTTGTAGAGTATCTGTAAAGAGCATTTCGGCGGGGAGGACGGCGGGGGGAGAAGAGAGAGGCTGCTCTAGAGCAAATTTGGTTTGTTACAGAAACAGAAATGCATTAAGGATTTATGGGATACAAGAAGAAGAAAAAAATCCCATCACACGCAATTCCTGAGCGCAAAGCCCAGCACTTGAAATTCAGCACAAGCCACCCCCTCTCCATATGCATCTGGATAATCTGTGCTTGCTGATGCAACTTTCCAGAGGGTTGAGCCTATACTATGCTCATTACTTTTGCTTATATAAAGACCCCTGGTTGAATTGTCTCATTTTTTGTTTGTTTCTTCATTTTCTTTTTGGTCAGCTGCGTTTGACCCCTCATCTACAAAAAACTCGCTTTCCATCCATGCCCCAGCTGTGGCAGCACGGGAAGGACAAAAACACCCTGCGGATAAAACCTCGAAAACACACTGCGGGGGAGAAGGTCAAAAAAAGAAAAAAAGAAAAAAAAAAAAAAGAGAAACGAAATCTAAAAATATGCAATAACAGTAAATAAAAATAAATAAAAATAAAATAAAAAGAAGAGGCCCCCGCCGCCCCGGCCCCTACTCACGG